TGGCATGGATACGACGTTCAGGTTGATGCAGTCCACGAGACATCCTCTAACGCTTTAAGCAACGTGAATCGGCCGACATCTTCTGGTGAGATCGGCCCACGAATCTCTCCATCATTCACTTCCATACGAAATGAAGAGTCTTCGAGACCCGCATCCTCTTCTGCACGCATTTTCAGACTAGACAAAACGAAACGAAGCGGAATAAAATACAAATCTACTAAGCAAGTCTTCTCTTCATGTCGAATAGTGCGCGTCGCAGAATTAATTGTAACACGCTGACAGGATTGCAGCCGGCCACCGTTCGTGGTGTTGGGAGGGCGTTTTGGTACCTTTCATTTCTTTTGCACAGACGCTGGACGGGATTCCTAAATTGGCCAGTCCGGAGAGCGATGAGGATTGCTGACTGCTGCAAACAAGGCCTTCGCGCCTCCTGCCACCCACCCCACTGCAGTGCAATGGCCAGAAATTGTCATTTCTCCAAAATATCTCTACGAGCAAAATGGCCGGCCATTTTGTGCATCTCTTTGGAAGTGGAGGCTCCTTGTGGGCCAGCTCTGCTTCGGCCATGCTCCCAAAGGCCTGGCTCGGACAGAATGTGCCGAGAACACCGTCGAAGGGTGTCACACGAGGCACTGTTGCCCCGTCAACCAGCCTCCCTCGCCTGCACACAGCCCCGTCCCCTCCCTGTTGGGCAGGTCCATCGGCGGACAGCGGTCCGGCACATCTTTTCGCGAGCCGGGCCGACTTCTCGTTCGGCCCGCCCGCCGGCCAGCCCGGGCCAGACCCAGTCAGCATATCGATTTCTGCCAGCCCGTTAATGCACGCCAGCCTCGACGTCATTCGCCCCGCCGGCTGACCTGAGGGCAGGCGAAGTTGCCTTCAGCTCCTGCTGTCTGCCCGTCGCTGTCTGCCGCTCTCAGGCCTATTGCACTTGCCTCGGGCGTCTCATTCTCGCCCGCCTGCACACGCAACCTGGCTCCGTTTTAGCACACGGCCTCGCTTTACTCCCGCTTTTCCGACTGTTTGTGCCCATGTCTGTGTCTTTGTGTCTGTGTCTGCGTCTGTGTCTATTCCTGTCGTCTTCCGGATTCACGGACGCCTCTATTACTCCCACCAGACCGACTGGACCTTGCAGCACCACCTCTGAAGGCGTCTCGACCCAAGCAGCTGCACAGTTGTCCGAGGCTGGTGTCTCGTCGGCTGGCGCGATATGCCCATTGACAACCGAATTGGCCTAGACGGGGTGGGATCGCGCTTCCGCAACTTGGTCGTGTCGCCAGGGCGACCAAGAGGAATGCACCCCCCGCCCTGAGTCCTCGGTCGCGCTAGTCATGAGGATCTCCGGTGCCGTCCCAGTCTCAGCACCAGACTGGAATTCGTCACAGGTACAGTGGAAGTCCATGCCTTGGCGACAAGTGTTCAGCAGAAAGGCGTTCGAGAGGTGGACAATTTGTGGTCTGGTGCTCGCTGAGGATACCGATGAACCGTCTGTTGGTGCACCAAGTCCATCCTCCGACGCTGGAGGCGCCGTCATGACCGAAAACTCCGGACGGGGTGTGTTCATTTGGGCCATGTTGCTGAATATACGAAGAATGGAAGAATCTCCTGGCGACTTTCATTTCTTCTTGACTTAGTGTTAACTTGAAGCGTTTACAAGAATGAGTCCCAGCTCTGACGATGCTCGTCACATGACGAATGGAAGCTCTGTCCGTCTTTGCCCGAAGCGTTGGCGGATGTCTCGTGGACTGCATCAACCTGAAAGTCGTATTAATGCCAAACTGCTTCAGTACGGCGCGAATAAGCCGACGCCTTCAAGTGAGAATTACCCACGAATCTTTTCATCGTGTACTTCCATACGAAATGAAAGTCTTCACATAAAGTTGCGGAAACAAGGGCAACCACTTCTGAGCTCATCCGATTGCCAGTAAGCCAGTCTTGCCAGCTGATGTGTGGATTGTCGCGTTGAGACGTCTGCATTGGCAGAAGAGATGCTGAGGTTGCAAAGCCCAGCAACCTCCCCCAGTCTGGGGGACTAATGAGCGATCTGTGAAATCCGTGAACCGGCCTCGCTTCTGCCCAAAAGATTGTCCTGGCAACGCTACTCCTGTGCAACCGAAGGAGACCGTCACCAGATGAGCCTAGTTGACATGAGGATTCGCCGAAACTATACTCCATATTTTGGTCCGATAGGTTCCCAAATCTTCTGGATGCTCTACTCCCTTCGACTGACTTGGAGCCGTGGTTTGGTCAAATAGCAATTGGCCCGAGTATCTCGTAGTTTCTGTTCGTTCAATGATCAGCGCTAAACTTTTAGAAGCCTCATATGGGCATAGAATGAAATAAAATGCTTTAAAGGCGCAATAATCTTGCCTTGGATGTTGTGATCATTACGGTCTGGCCTTTTTTCAGTTCATTTTCTATGCCTTACTAGTGGACAGCTTAGGAGAATGTTAAGAGCGAATGGATGCAAGGTTGATCGTTGAATGGACATGATCCATTTATTACACTGTATCCACTCTATTCATAATGATTTGTGATAAATTCACTTGAGGTAGCAAACT